TGTTTGTTCATTGGACTTGAATGTTATGCATGGTTAGTTGTGGTTGATAAGTGATCTTGTTTAGCGATGGAAAAAATATTAGTAACCGTAGATATCCGCCCGAATCCGATCTAATCGGGTAGGGTAAGACCCAAACCCGAAGGATATTTAGTGGGTACGGGTAAAACCCGAACCTGAAAATTGCAGGTAATGGGTGGGCATGGGTTTCTCACTATCCAACCCGAACCCGCCCGATTATACACATGCGTATGTATTTTGGCTAGAAACAATCATTATTTTTCTCGAACATATTTTATATTTAGTATATAAATTTAATATTTTCATGAAATTGTGTTGTTTTAATTAATTTTCTTCATTCTAGTTAATTATTGTCGTACTTTTCCACTTACACAATGTGAGTATATGTGTAAATGTTAACATATTGATTGCAGTTATAAAGAAAAATTATTACCCATGGATAACCGTGGATACCCGAAACCTGAACGGGCATTGGCATGATTTTGATTTTCTACCCATTTCTCATGTGGGTGTGGGTTAAACCCAAACTACTTTAAGTATGGTAATAGATATGCATTATCCACCCCCGACCCGACCCATTGCCATCCCTAATCTTGTTGAGACTTGCATTATCCCCAAAGCATTTTGTTAGGTTGAGAGATTACCTTTGTGTGAAATGGTTTGGTTGGGGACAAGCAAACGTCTAAGTGTGGGGGAGTGATTCGGCCTAATTGTACACTTTTTTATCCCCGATTCTCTTTGACGTTTGTTGCAATTGAACTCCAAAAAGGTTGGTATTACGCGAGGTTGCTTATGTTTCAGTGTGTTTCAAATCCTAACAGGTAAAACTAAACCCGGAGTCGAAAGTTGGAAGAAAAGGAGCAAAGAATGGGCAAAGAGGTGGAGGCAACCAATGTTTACGGCCTGACGTTGGAGTTCACAGTCTCACAGGGCCCTGAATTGAAGCCAAAAGCCATGAACCAAGGAGCGACCAAAGAGGGTTTTCAGGTTATTGACACCCAGGGTGTTCACGGTCGCTAAGACCGTGAACAGAGGCCACTGATCGTGAACCCGAGTAAATGAATTTTTGTCTCAGCAATGAGTTTACGGACACGTATCGATGTTCACGGCTGTGAACTCAGGCCGTGATTTGGGCTCGATCTCAACTTAAAAGGCCAGGTCAAAGGAAGAAGAGGAGGAGACCTAGTGTGAGAAAGTTCTCCTTCTTCAGATTTTAGAGTGAGAAAGTGACGAACAAAGAAGAGGAAAAGCTAGGGTTTCATCTGCCAGCAAGGTTTTGGGAATTCCTCCTCCAAAGGAGGATTTCTTCGCACAAGGAGCAAGGCTTGCATCTTTTTGATGGTTTCCCTTTCCCTCTCTTGTGTTTTCCCTTCTCTTAGCATGGAGTAGTCCCTTCTTTCACTTGGGTGTTTGTAAACCCTAGCAACAATTATGTAAATGCTTGTATGAATTGAATTATTTATGTGTGGTTGTGTTTAAATGTGAATGTCGAGGTATTATTCAGAATTGATTGTGTTGTGTGAAAGCCTATCAATCTAATTGCCATTCTAACCTAGCTTAGAGAGGAGACCTCCTTAGGTTAAGAGGCTCAATTTGAGATGGGTGTTCTTGGGCATTCAATGCCTCCTAAACTAGTTTAGAGAGAACCCTCCTTAACCTAAGAGGCTCTATTAGAGATGGGTTTCCTTGGGTATTCAATGCCTCCTAAGCTAGTTTAGAGAGAACCCTCCTTAACCTAAGAGGATCTATTAGAGATGGGTTTCTTTGGTCATTTTATGCCTCCTATTCTAAGTTAGTTAAAGGTCAAACCTCCTATTTCGCATTAGCACTTAGGGTTTGGTTGTGGGTGGCCGTCCGAACTCCAATTCGAGGGTGAAGTCTATCCATTCCTTAGTTGATAGGTTGAAAGGGTCACATTAGTGGCTTGGATCGTATCCCATTCCTCAACCTAGAGACTAAGAGGGTAGCTTTGGCAGCTTGTTAGACTTCCCTATGATTTATGACCCCCTAACCACACACGGTTGTAATTATTAGATAGGGGGAGCAACACCTGGGTGAAGCTTTCTCAACTCGTGTTAAATTCATTTTACCGTTGCAAAGCAATTTAGTTTTAGACCTTTGTTTTCACCAAAACTAATCCGCTAGATAATGTTTCAAACAGTCGAAGTAGTGTTACATGGACCGACATGGGTCGATATTTAAACATACTTGCCCTATATTGCACCCATCTAAGGTTATACTTGGACCTTAGGTGAGATTTATGGTGATAGTCAGAGCTAGTCAAGTTTTTGGAGCCGTTGCCAGGGACTTCGGTCCGTTATCGTGAAAAGTTTGTTTTGTGTTAATCTAGCTTTTAATTTCTGTTTTTGTTAAGTTGTGAAGTGTTTGCTCGTGCCAGACGTGTTGTGTTCTTTAAGTGTGTGTAGGGAGGTGCATGACCCGGAGCAATCCGGCGCCTTTAATACCACTGGACGAGGACATCAACCGGACTCTCTGACTTCTAGCCCGAGAGATGGAGCAAGCAGTGGTAAGAAGGAGAAGTGAAGAATGGGGGACAACAAGTTGGTCCCGGAATTGAAGGAATTGAAATTGAAGTTGAAGTTGAGATGGCGGGAAATGAACACTGAGGGGCCAATCCGCTTCCAAACTCAAATGGGGAAGCGAGAGCTGAGGAAGAGACAAGGACTATGGGCTATTACATGGCTCCACGGGAGGCGTATATCCAATCTCCCATCTTGCATCCACCCATGGCCACCAACAACTTTGAGATCAAGCCCTCTCTCGTGATGATGTTTCAACAAAATGCCTGCTTCCACAAGCTTGTCTATGAATCACCATGAGAGCATGTCCAAAGGTTTCTTGAGCTAGCGGGTAGCTGAGAGATAAATGGCATCACCGTGCTATTGAAGCTCTTCCCCTATTCTTTGGCGGGGAAGGCACTCCGATGGCTCAACAACCGTCTCGCTCTATCCATCACCTCTTGGGACGACCTACTCAACAAGTTCATGACCCGATATTGTCCTCCTCCCAAGACGGCCGAGTGGAGGAAGAAGATCACTCGCTTTGAGCAAGAGGAGGATAAGACATTGAGGGATGCATGTGAAAGGTTATCCAAATACTTTCTTCAATACCCTCATCATGGATTCGAGAAGCAATTTCGGATAGAAACATTTGCCAACTTAATACTTAGCGAATAATCCTCTCTATTAAGAACTTCCTCCAACACTACTTATTTATTCCTAGCAAGAATCGTGCAAAATTATCCATATAGAACCTCAATTGAGCTCAAGAGTGAGAGCTCTAGGACACAAGGACGACTCACAATGATTTAGACACGAGAAAATGATGAGGGGTCGTTCTATCAATCACCATTAAGCTTAACAAGCACAAAGCTCATAACATTAGAACGACCCCCAAAGTCACACGGCTCAAAGGGGTTGACTAGGGGATAAAATGTTTTGGGACAATAAACTTTTGAGCGTGGACTAATGCTATGCCTCCATCATACTCACTAGTGACAATGGTGAATGTTACACACCATGGCAAGAGGGATCTATCACATATGAACAAGACGATCGACACAAAACTCACTTGGCTACCTAGCCACCCAATCATCTATTCCAATTTCACAAAATTCTATGCAAGGCAATTGTGGTCAAAGAGTAACCAAGTCAAGACATCCATTCATTTAACCACACATGAGAAATAAGCTTTTTCACACACCTAATGCAACTCTCAACCATCATAATAGGATGCACTCAATCACATGCAAAAATTCAAGGTCGATGCCAAATAAACACAAGATCCACTAACAAATCGGCCAATTTGATAATACATTGCTTGGAGCCTCAAAATTTTCAAATTTGGGCATACATAAAGGCTCCAAGCATTCAATCACACACACAATCATAATAATAACTTACCCCCCCCCCTCCCCTCCCCACACTTAAACTCGACATTGCCTCAATGTCATAAAATAAGGTTAGAACGATATTACAGCATGGGTTGGTGAGTGAAAGTTGGACAATTCTCGGGGTAGGAGTGACGAGGACATCAATGGGCTAGTCACACGTGCAAAGGAAAGAACGTTGAAGGAGAAGCTTGCAATGTATTTGGAGAGCTACTTTGGAGCCATGGACATTGAGCTGTTTTGAGGGAAGCCATATATGATGATTAGAGTGGAGGAAGAAGGAGGAAGTGCTGGAGAGAAGGCAGATTGCAAGAAGGAGCCTTAATGGGTTTGCTTAACGGGTCTAGGCTTAACGGTTTGGGCTTAACGAGTTTGCTGGGCTATTTTCGGGTTTCCTTGTTTTAAACTCGGTTTATGATCGCTTTTCCATGTTGGAGTCGAATTTGGGTTGTACTTTGCCAATTTAAAGAGGCCAAACCATCTGTTTAAGGGTTAGACAAATTTTTGAGAATAAACCCTAAAGGCTTTTGACGTGTTTCCTTTGAGGTACTCAGTTCTAATTCTATGTCGAGTATCTCCAAAGTTAGAGCAAACTCTTATCAGCTAGGTATTCACCCTGGTTGTGGCGAGCTACCCTTATATTGATTGCCCTCTATTTCAGGTTGAATCTGTCTGATCGATCTCATATCGATGGCCACTATTCACGAGTGAGTATTGTCCGATCAATTCCTCCCTATCCGGTTCTGTTTGGTTCAAGAAGCTTGACCCTGCGCTACTTTGATTATATCAAGTGGTATTGGAGCTAAGGTTCAAGTCATTGACATATTCTTGAAGCTTATTGAAGTTCTTTGGCGATCTTGACGATCTTGTTTGTTTTCTTGGAGGTTATTGGAAGTTCTTGTGCGGTTTGTTGAAGATCTTGGTGTGTTCTTGAGTTTCTTGAGCCGCAAGATAGAAGGTTGAGTTTGGTTCTTGGAAATCTTGTGATCCTTCCATCGCAAGCATGGAGGCCACGCTGGGTGCTATCAAAACCCAGCTTGAGAACATCATGTGAGCTCAGGAGGAGCAAGCAATGAGGATGGGGGCGGTGGAAGCAAGGCTCCAGCAGCCCGAAGCTAACACTAACCCTGATCTTAGACCTCGAAAAGGAGAAACGGAAAGGGAAAATCAAGCTCCTCCACCCTTGGTGAACTACAGAGGAATATGCATCGACATCAACGTCTTAAAATGCCTCGAGTTGAGAGGAGAAGGCGGCAACAACAACATGAAGAGGTAGAGGTCGAAGAATTTAATGAAGAAGACGATGAGGGGTTTGAGGAGAATGACGATCTTAGAAACCTCAAATTCACGATTCCACCTTTTTGTGGTACCACAAATCCTGATGCCTACTTGGATTGGGAGCGTTAGATGGAATTGGTATTGGATTGTCACAATTACTCCGAAAAGAAGAAAGTAACGTTGTCTGCCCTGGAATTTTCGGATTATGCTCTCGTTTGGTGGGATCAATTATGCATGAGAAGGAGGAGAAACAGGCAGCGTCCTATTGAAACATGGGACGAGATGAAGGGTATCATGAGGGATCAGTTTGTATCGAATTCCCATTTGAGAGATATGTATCAAAACCTCCAGCTTCTACGACAAGGAGATGGAAGTATTGATGATACGTGTTGATGTGAGAGAGGATCACGAGGCTACCATAGCTCGTTTTCTATATGGTCTCAATCGAGAGATTAAGAACATGGTGGAAATACAACCGTTCCTTGAGATTGAAGATTTGGTTGACATGGCCAGCAAGGTGGAACGACAGTTACGAAATAGGAGGTTTCAACCCTCCACGAATTCCACACGATCTAACCAGGGGGTCACAACTAACCCTAAGTCCCAAATCCCCATGAAAGAAACTCCCAGACCAGCAGCAAGGGCGGATGGTGCAAGTCCAGTGAAGCAAGGTGGATCGTCGGGGGGAATTCAGTGTTTTAAATTCCACGACAGAGGGCACATTGAGAGTCAATACCCCTAACAAGAAGACCCTGATTTTTCTCGACAATGGTGAATTTGATTCTGAAGAAGAAGTCGAGGAGACCACCATTTCTGATATTGATGAGTCCATTGAGATGGAGGCACCTCTGGGTAGTTTGTTTGTAGCAAGGACGGTGATGACTGCGTAGCCTAAGGAGGAGAGTGAACAACAAGAAAACATCTTTCACACTAGATGCGTGGTCGATGGAAAGTTGTTATCCCTAGTAATCGATGGAGGGAGTTGAACGAACATAGTGAGTGCGTGCGTAATGAAGAGGCTAGGGCTGCCTACGTTGAAGCATCCAAAGCCATATACGCTGCAGTAGATTAATGATCATGGATCCATCAAAGTCACGAAGCAAGCATTGATGAAGTTCGAGATTGGTGGATACAAAGATGAGATTCAACGTGACGTAGTGCCTATGCTAGCTATGCATATGCTTCTTGGCCGACCATGGCAGTTTAAACGATAAGCACAACACGACGAAGTGACTAACAAGTACAAATTGCAACATGGAGGATAGAAATTCGTGTTGAAGCCTCTTTCTCTAAGTGAAGTATATCGAGATCAACTCCAAATGCTGCAACGTTGAGAGCAAGAAAAGGAAAGTAATGCCTTGACCAAGAAAAGGAGAAGAAGGAGCTGGAATTGTGGATTCAAATGCAGTGATGCTAGCACGCATTGGAGATTTGAAGCAAGCTGCCTGTGCACGAGAACCTTTGATTGTGCTCAGGTACAGGGACGTGCTACTCAATTAAGAGCTAGTTCAAGAAGTTCCATACGAAGCAAGAGTGGTGTTGGAAGAGTTCAAGGATGTGTTTCCAGAGGAAGCACTGAAGGGGCTGCCTCCTATTCTTGGAATTGAGTACCAGATTGATTTCTTGCCGGTGAGGTCAAATTCAAGACAAGGCAGCATATCGAGCTAATCCGGAGGAGACCAAAGAGATGCAAAGGCAAATTGACGAGCTCATCGAGAAAGGGCATGTTCGAGAAAGTTTGAGCCCATGTGCAGTTCCGGTGATTCTCATGCCGGAGAAGGATCACACCTGGAGGATGTGTGTAGACTGCCGAGCCATTAATCAAATTACAGTTCAGTATCGCCATCCAATCTCACGATTAAAGGATATGCTTCATGAATTACATGGCTCTTTGGTGTTTCCAAGACTGATTTGAGAGCAGGTTATCACCAAATTCGTATGAAGGAGGGAGACGAGTGGAAGACTGTGTTTAAGACCAAACAGGTTCTATACAAATGGATGGTGATGCTCCTAGCACGTTCATGATGTTGATGAACCACGTTTTGAGGCCATTCATTGGCAAGTTCGTGGTCGTCTACTTTGATGATATTCTGATTTACTAGAAGTGTGTGGAGGATCATCTCAATCTTCTACGATAGGTGTTGGCGATGGCGAGGAAGGAAAAGTTGTATGCTAACCTCAAGAAGTGCTCGTTTTGCACTTCTACTGTTATTTTCCTTGGGTTTGTGGTGAGTGCAGATGGAGTCAAGGTGGATGAAGAGAAGGTGAAAGCAATCCGCGATTGGCCTACTCCAATCAACGTGAATGAGGTGCGGAGCTTTCATGGGCTTGCTGGGTTCGATCGACGATTTGTGCCCAATTTCAGCACCGTGGCTACACCATTGACTGCCATCATCAAGAAGAACGTGATGTTTTATTGGGGAGAGGAGCGGACCAGAGAATTCGAGCTGCTCAAGTATAAGCTCACGCATGTACCTATTCTGATGTTGCATGATTTCACGAAGACATTCGAGGTGGAATGCAATGCTTTTGGTTTGGGAATTGGAGAAGTGTCTATGCAGGAAAAGAAACCAATTGCTTACTTTAGCGAGAAGTTGAGTGGGGCTGCCTCAACTATCCTATGTACGACAAAGAGCTCTATGCTCTTGTTCGAGCCTTAGAGACGTGGCAGCACCATCTTTGGCCGAAGGAGTTCGCGATTCACACTGATCACAAGTCGTTGAAGTATCTGAAGGCTCAACCGAAGCTGAATAAGAGACATGCTCGATGGGTTGAGTTCATTGAGTCTTTTCCATACGTGATCAAGGACAAGCAGGGCAAAGAGAATGTATTTGCTGATGCCCTATCTCGAAGGCATTCGTTGATCACGGCGATGGGGGTGAAATATTTGGGTTTCGAGCATATCAAGGAGCATCATGCTGATGATGCTGACTTTGGGGAGATCTATAGAGCTTGCGTGCAACATGATGATGGGAAGTTCTATCGAAGTGATGGCTACTTGTTTCGAGCTAATCATTTGTGTATTCCTTGATCATCACTTCGAGAGTTGCTGTTGAAGGAGGTTCATGGAGGAGGTTTGATGGCACATTTTGGTGCAGACAAGACATTGGGTTGTCTACAAGAGCACTTCTATTGGCCGCACATGAAGGGAGACGTAGAGAAGCTGTGTGCGAGGTGTGTGGAATGCAAGTAGGCCAAGTCGAAGGTGCAATCATCTGGATTGTACACACCACTACCTATTCCGTATGCTCTATGGATCGATATTTCTATGGAGTTTGTGCTTGGTTTGCCACGGACAAGGAAGGGACGAGATTTCGGTTTTCGTGGTGGTGGGTCGATTCTTGAAAATGGCACACTTTATCCCGTGTCATAAGACGAATGATGCTATTAATGTGGCTGATTTGTTTTTCAGGGAATTGGTGTGTTTTCATGGGATGCCGCGTTCCATATTATCCGATCGAGATACTAAGTTTCTAAGTTCCTTTTGGAAGACATTATGGGGCAAACTGTGGACGAGGCTGCTGTTCTCTACCACATGTCATCCTCAAACCGATGGACAAACAGAGGATGTCAATTGAACATTATCCCAGATGCTTCAAGCTGTGATCAAAAGCAACATCAAGGTTTGGGAGTACTGCCTTCCCCACGTGGAGTTTGCTTACATCAGGATGTTGCACTCAACGACGAAGTTCACTCCGTTTGAGCTCGTGTATTGTTTCAATTCTCTCACTCCTTTGGAATTGATGCCATTGCCTTTGAAAGAGCAGGTCAATCTCGATGGAGCTTAGAAGGCAGATTTCGTGAAAAGTCTACAAGAGAAGGCGAGATTGAACATTGAGAGAAGGACAAAGCAGATCATGTGGGTGCATTTGAGGAAGGAGAGGTTTCCCCAGCATCGGAAATCGAAGTTGCTGCCTCGATGTGATGATCCTTTCCAGGTGGTTTTAAAGATTGGAAGCAACGCCTACAATATTGACTTACCGGGAGAGTATGGAGTAAGTGCAACGTTTAATGTTTCTAACCTTGCACCTTATTTGGATAGTAATTCGGATTTGAGGGAAAATCTTCTTGAAGAAGGATGGGCTGATGAGGACATCGATTGGCCAGTCACACGTGCAAAGGCAAGAACGTTGAAGGAGAAGCTTGCAATGTATTTGGAGAGCTACTTTGGAGCCATGGACGTGGAGCTGTTTTGAGGGAAGCCTTATATGATGATTAGTGTTGAGAAAGAAGGAGGAAGTGCTGGAGGAAAGGCAGATTGCAAGAAGGAACCTTAACGGGTCCAAGCTTAACGGGTTTGCTGGGCTATTTTTAGGTTTCTTTGTTTTAAAGTCGGTTTATGACTGTTTTTCCATGTTGGAGGCTGAACCATCTGTTTAAGGGTTAGACAATTTTGAGAATAAACCTAAAGGATTTTGCCGTGTTTCTTTTGAGGAACTCAGTTCTAATTCTCTATCGAGTATCTCCAGAGTTAGAGCAAACTCTTATCAGCTAGGTATTCACCCTGGTCGTGGCAAGCTACCATTATATTGATTGCCCTCTATTCCAGGTTGAATCTGTCTGATCGATCTCATATCAATTGCCCCTATTCACGAGTGAGTATTGTCCGATCAATTCCACCCTATCCGGTTCTGTTTGGTTCGAGAAGTGATGACTCGATATTTGCACATGTTTTCCCATTTGTTTCTTGATCGTTTGAGATTTAATTATCGCGTCTTTGCCCTATTTTACGCTAGGTTGTGTTCCTTTGTCACATTTCAGGTCCTAGCACATAAAGTGAAGTATAGGCGCAAGTTTCAAGTCAATCAGAGATCAATTGGCGATTAGGGAGAAGAAACTCGGACATGACCTGAAGAAGAATGGATTTCTACCTCACTTTATGGACACATAATCCTGCAAGCTTGTCATGAAAAGAAAGAGTACAAGACTACGAGCGTGTGGGATCAAACAGCGACTGATTCGGTGTCCGGACGAAGGAGAAACGAAGCATTGAATATA